TTGTTTGTCCAGAGACCGTTCTCATGCACGTTCTGCCAGGCTGATTTTGATTGCCCCTCCTGTATGTCATGCTGAGGAAAATAATAAAACAATGTGGGCTGTAGTTCTATCAAGATGTACATGGCACACACAGTTCTATGCCTCTCTTCCATCAAACCCAGATGGTGCAGCATCTTTGCTTTTCTAGTGCCTGGTGGAGAGCAACACTTAGATAAAGGCAAGCTGGCAGAAGCTTAGTTTGGATGTAAGGGAGGCACTGATAGTGTGTTAAGGGAAAGTGGGGTGATTGTCCTTCCGATCCATCTTTCATTTAAGAAGTTTTCAATTTGGGGTGCTGCTGGATTCTCAATGGCACCTGGAAGTACAGGTGGCACCAGGGACCCAAAGCATCATTTTACAATTGCATCTGACGCAGTTGTAAAATTTTAGACGGGTAAGGGGAGTATTGGAGGGAACGGGGAGAGCGTGGGGGCCCTGAGCTACGGGCGGGGCGGGGAGGAGTCACATGGAAGGTCATGTTGGGAAGTCACGTGCCCCGCTTTGTGTCCCTCCCATGAGTGCAGTACTGGCAAGAAATGACTTCTACTTGCACCACTGGCTCTGCCTGGGTTTCCTTGTTTGTGTACCTTGGGAAACATGTAGACAGTCCCTGGGGTGGGTTCCTAGGGGACGAGTTTGTAGACTTCTCTTGGAGTGGTTTATAAACTTTACATTTGTTTTACACATTTGTGCTTAATAAGAATTAATGTATTAATAAGGAGGGTGAAACATTTTGGAGTTATTAGCTGCAAATCTGAGTCTCTGGAAGTTGCTTAAATGTTTGTGCAAGCATTATAAAGTCCTTGAGTTGTGGTGTAGAATTTATCAGCAACAGAAGAGAGTCTGAAGAACTTGCAAGTTCCATGGGACATAGAGTATAAGAGTGAGAGAGTTTCCATTGTAAGCCCATTTTTACACCCTCTGCCTTGGACCATAGTGGGCCAGTGGGCTGCGGAAGGTTCAAGTTTCTTGCATATATTTATCAAAGTTTAAAAAAATAAGAAGTTAGTATATCTGACCCATAACAAGTGTGTAGCGTGGAGGAGGCTTGGGGTAGTGGTTGTTATATGGTAGTTCTCAGATCAGTATATAATTGTGGGAGGGGATAAGCCTGATTCAAAGTCCACTGAAGTCAAGGGAGACATTTTGTTGATTGCAATGGGGATTGGATTAGGCCTAGAGTGAGGGACTTTAACTCTTATTGGAAATGTACTGTATGTGGGTGTAAGCAGGATTCTGGCCTAGAAGTGGAGGGTGGGTATGGATATAGGCTCAGTAAGTTTTCTGGGGCAGGACTGGTGTCTTTGTTTGTATATGTCTGTATAATGTACAGCACAATGAGGCCTCATGGAGCTACTGTACCATAAATATAAAATAAAATAAAACAATCATATAATACAGATTAAGGCAAATGTTAATAAAGATTGTTGAAACTTAATGCCCCACTTCTAAACATTTAGTGATATCGATATTTCCGGCTACAACACTGAGTTTTTTTGGCTTAAAAGATATATATTTGCAACCTTATAAATGCATTTTGTCCAGGGATCTGCATATAGCTACAGTAGATCTATCTACTAGAAAATATGGAGAATCTAACAAGCTAGCTGTTTGTACACAGCCATGCTTTCAACAATCAATCAGTTGTGATAGAATTAAATAACAAAAGTGAATAAATGTGATAGCAACTCTCCCATAATTACACATAGTTTAGTTTGGGGATCAAATATAAATGTCCCGCTGTTTAAAGGAAACTCAGTCCAATTGGGAAATGAATGTTCTCCAAACAACATTAACTGATGCATAATGCAGAGTTGAGGTATTCTGAAAAGGGTACACCCATTTACTTAGACAGTGATTCATGGAGTTATTTGGGAAGGACGACAGCCATTCTGTGCTGAAAGGTCTAACAGAAACAGAAAGCCGCTATTAAGGCTCGGGGCATATGAATCTTTCCATTTCAATAAAATGGCTGGTGGCAAGATATGCTAGTGAACCAGACACCCACATTCCTCATCCTGACAATCAGACTCCCAGCAGACAGGCTTTCAACATAATTACAGTACACAGAAGTTTGGAAGATCTTAAAAATCTCCATAGCAACCTCCACGGCAAAAAATCTTTGCATATCCAAAGAGGAGCAAAAACACCCTAAGAAGGATTGTGCATCTGAACATTCTATTTGGGTCTGAACAGCCAAACATGGTTTTTGTGATGGAGCCATTCTGTACCAGGCTTCATTTCATTAAATTTATTGCATATGGAGATTTTTTAGCTTTTTGTGTCACATCTTCCTCCAGGGCAAGTGCTACCATTAAGGCAAACTAGGCGGTTGCCTAGGGCGCCAAGATTTGGGGGCGCCAAAAAGCGGTGCCCCCAATTTTTTTTTACAGTGTTTCTACGCCTCCTCCCCGAGCGCGCGGTCGCCGCTCCACTTCTCCTGCCTCCCAGGCTTGCAGCGCCAATCAGCTGTTTGGCGCCGCAAGCCTGGGAAGGGAGGAGAATTAGAGCAGGGGCGGCGTGCTCAGGGAGGAGGC